TTTTTCTCCTGAAGAGCAACTGGTGGACCTGAATTGTGTGACTTTAGGTTGGCAGCGCAGCTGCTTACCACTTCTCCACCAGAGCCCCCTGTATGTATTTCTGTTGTTATTGCTGTGTACTGTCGAGCTGGAATTCAGTTGACCCAGTGGGTTTTCAGAGGCAGTAAATCACACGAGGTGATTGCCCATCCTTCTCCTGTGGAGCAACTGATGGATTCAAACCACGTGCCTTTGGGATTGCAGACAAGCTTCTTTCCAGTAGGCCACAGAGATCCCAATGTATTTCTAGTAATCGTACATCTCTTTTTATTTTTTTTTCCTCCAAGAGAGCTGGTTGTTATACTAAAACTTCTGAGCCTTTCCTCTTCACTCCATTCACAGTTCTCTCAAACACAGGCCACTAGCATTTGCATTAAAGGTAAATTTTCCATGTTGCAAGCCTTTGGAAAAATTCCCATGGACAATGACACCAAATTAAGCAGAAAAAATCAAATTCTGAAGATGGTTTTATGACATGAATAGTTTCTGTGGCCTCTGTGTCAACTAGCAACAAAGAGAATTTCCAAAAGTTTGTAAAGACTGCTGGAAAAAATGGAGACTTTTTGGCCATTATCTTCGGACACTAAATAAACCATCTGCAGCAGAGGGCCTAGGGCATATTCCAAGTTGAAAGGGACATATTGGTAAGCTCTGTACACCAATGTGTTCTCTCTAAGCAGTGAGCTAGCAGGGGCATTGACTTAACTTGGCTTGGTGGACTGAGCCAGCTGTGCTTCGTAAAAGTCACCTCATCAGGTCATAGTTGGGACTCTTATTTCATGAAATATCCCATGTGCATCTTGCCTGGAAACACCAGGGACACGGGCTAAGAGTCCTTTTTCATCCTCACGGCTACCCCGGAACTTCTGTCCATTTACCTTGGGCTGGCCAAACTGAGGGAGAGAGAATGGTTGCTGTTCAGAACAGCTGTTACATTGGTCTGCAGAATGGTCAGACAGTACAACCCATGTTATGAATGTCACTCAGGGAGAAGTAAGGCCAAGTTCTTTTCTGAAGCCTGTTAGTGAGACCTTTGTGAGCTACAGACAAGCTGGGAGGGATAGTAAAGTAGGAAAGTTTAAGGAGTTGCCAGAGACTTGTACCTAACTCCTGGCTTCACAGAGAGTAAAAATCTGAGGAGAAGGGAGCACCTACTGATGATGCACTTTCTTGGAATAAGAGTATAAGACAGCATTTATACTTTGGGAAAGAACAGATTTATTATTAGGTATGTGTTTGGAAGAACTTAGTGAACAAAGAAACCAGCATGGCCTTTCTTCAGCGATGATGCTTGAAGATGGCCATTAAGTTAGAATTTATTATGGAGTGGCTTTTCTATGTGAGGTAATAAAGGCAATATGGTGTTTATTATAGATCAAACTGGTTCTATAATTTTTGAACTCTTTATCCCTGTACATGTTTGGAAATATGGTCACTGAAGATGCTATCAGTTAGGTTAGACTAACGTAGGGTGCATCCTAATGGAATCTGAGCGTTTTCGTTAAGAGGAGAAGAGAAAGAGACAGGTAAGAGGACGTATGGTCATGTGAAGATGCATTTGCAAGAAAAGAAAACTAAACAATGACTGGGGCTATCAGAAGCTGGAAGAGTACCTTGTAAAATATTCTTCCTCAAAGATTCCTCAAAGCTCATCTAGTAACTCTGGATGCCTAGTGTATATCAGAACTGTAAAAAAAGGCTATTTCTCTCATGCAAATCACCCAGTCTGGGTATACTCTGTCCCAAAAGGAGGCACTGATTGTATAAAGGAAAGTTTGGAATCAAGATTCACGGGCTTTCAACCAAGGGTGAATCCAGCATAAGAACAAATGAGCAAACATACAAAAGTCGTCACAAATGAGGGAGGGGGTGAAGGAAATGAGGATCCAATGGAGACCTGAAAAGACTGGAAAATGATGGGCAAGGTCCAATGGTGACTGAGTTTAGAAAACACAATTCATGGGAATTATTGTATGAAACACAATATGAATGAAAAATACTGTAAAACACAATGTATATGAACTATGTGAGCAAATTAATATAAAATAAAATTTTTAAAAAAAGAGAGGGGAAAAAAGTCATCACAAATGGTTATCCTATCTGGGATAACAAGAGGTACCAAAATCAAGCAGGGAGCTTTGGTGGCCTAAGCTGATAAGGAGATGTGCTGCCAACCCAAAGGCACATGATTCACATCTACTAGTTGCTCTATAGAGAAAAGATGGGAAATCTCCCTTTGTGCAATTTACAGCTTCTGAGAACCTGCTGGAGGGTCAGCTGTAAGTTGGCTCCAACTTGACAGCATTCAATAACTAACCAAAATAATATAAAGCAGACCCCATGGTCTGAAAAAACGAGGCCTCCCGAAGGAAAAACATTTACCTTAATGTCCAAAGGGGGGAAATCTAGTTTAGAGAGAGGAAAGAGCAGGACTGAAGTCTTGAGGGTGGTGTGGTGTGCAAAGGGCAATAAGGAGGCTGTGTGATCAAGGTCTAAGTAAGGACAGTATCCTACAGGCCTCAGGAAGTGATCAAATGTACTGAAGCAGGAAGAGTAGTCCGATTTATGCCTGAGTGGACTCTCTAGCTTCTGTAAGGACAGTAAAGTGAGGAATGAGAAATAATTGGTGCAAATGATCCAAAGCCTGGTGTCTGGGTCCACACCTAAGACATCACCATCCCATTGGTGGTGGTGTCCTGGGTACTTATCTAGCCTGGCTATGAGTTTAAGCTTTAATATGTAAAATGAAGGCAAAAAGCAATACTCCTCCTTACTGGCTGTGATCATGCCTACTACAAAAAAATCTTGTCTAATCCTTATCCTTCAACATGGCCACAGCCACTGGTACATGTGATCCTGCTTCAGCCCCTGATGATGTTGAGGGACATCCAACCTACAGATCTCCTTTCCCAGCACATATCAGACACTGTTCTGTAGTTGTCTGTAGAATTTTTATTGTCAGAAGGAGACTATCATACATCTTCCTAGTTTATCTTAGTGTAGAAGCTGTTAAAATCTGCTCAACATAGGTATCCTTGCTGGTGTTTGAAAAACCGGCAGCATAGCTTCCAGTATCACAGTAACATGACTATCAACAAGTATGACAAACAGAAAGTAGACTTACTTGAGACAGAATGAAATCACTTCCCACATTTAAAGGCTTAGAAGAGTTTCTACATATGATACGCTCTTCACAGGCAGGGGAGCTCCACTGGCCTATTGTAAGAAGTTATGCTGACAACCCCAAGGTAGGGAGTTCAAATTCACCAGTCACTCAGCAGAAGAGAGATTATAAATCTCCTCTCATACTATTTATAGCTTCTGAAGACCCACGGGAGGGGCTTTGAGTTGGTTCTGACTTGACAGTACATAGCAACAACACAATTTCAAAATTAATGGAAGGTGGTGTGCATTAGATATAAAACAGAATATTAAAAAAGAAATAAAGTGAGGAGACTTCAAAGTAAAAAAACAACAACAACAGTGGTATAAGAATTATTATAACAGGAAATAAAGTAAGCCCTGAGCTTTCTGAAGGAAATGAGCAAAGGTAAAGAGGAAGGGTTCTGTGTCATCACAGCCCACAGAATGACCCCTGTGAGGCGATCAGAGTCCCTGGGCAGTACAACCAGCACATCTGACTGCTAGCCAGATTCTAGAGGTTCACATCCACCTACACACACATCCTGGAAAAAAGCCTACAGGATCTCATTCGGAAAAACGCCATGGGACATAGTTCTACTGACATGCATGGAGGTGCCACTCGTTGGGTCGACCCACTGGCGACTAGTTTAGGAAGCAGCCTATTGTTATTGCTACCTGTTGATAAGATAGTTTCCAACGCATTATGAAACCATGCATAGCAGAAAGGAGGGCTGCCTGGGCTGATGCCATTCCCACATGGTTACAGATAGGATTTCTGATTTCTTGGGTTTTCACTGACTGACTAGATCACCAGGAAGTCAGGTTGGAATCTCTTTGCAATCTGCTCAGCATCATAGTAACATACAAGTGTGCACTGGCGGCAAGGTGCTTTCAGTGCAGAAGGTTTACAAGCTTGCACACAAAAGGTAAGAACTCAACCACTGAGCTTCCAATGGCTAAAAGAAACTCAAAGTCTTTGCTGTTGAGTCAGAACTGGCTCTAAGTTCACCTTCCAGCAGGTTTACAAGGGCTGTAAACTGCACAGGAGAATACTGTCTGTCTTTCTCCAATGGAGCAGCTAAGGGATACAGACTGCCAGAGAGGTATCACCTTTGAGTTAGCACAACTCTTTATGGACGATGCCATGAGACCTCAGAAACAAAACGCAAACATGTCTTTCTTTTCCATCAAGTTTTTCCAGGAGAAAAACTGGTATTTGTGTTAATAGAAGGGCTAAGGATACAGACACTTTGTGGTTGATTAAGCACCAGGCTTCCCTATGCCCACTCAGCCAGCAACAATTGGAAGGCCATCACTAGGATTTTTAGGATTCTCTAGGATTTTGCCCAAATATACCAAGAACCAGGACATGAGGCTCTGCAACCCACTCAATTAGTCAACCTTCCAGGAACCAGCCAAGGAAGAGAGAACATGGCTCCATATACTCCAGTGCGCCCACATTTACAGAGCATGTGCCAGATTACTGAGTTATCACAGGTCACAAACAAGCCCTTTGTGCCCCTTTGGTTCCATTTCATTCTCTTAATGTTTCCAGCATTTGACAGGAGGAATTGTCTGAGGGAGACTTACGGGGGATTGTCGCATTTCCTCTGCCGGAAGCGGGCTCCAGTGCCACATGTTCGGCTGCACATGCTCCAGACACTCCAAGGGCTCCAGTCTCCATCTACATGCTCTGGGATGGGTGTTTTGCCAACACACTCCCCAGCTCGGCACCACTAAAACACAGAAGGAGGATCCTGACCCTAGGCTACTCGGGGAGAGAAAAGTAACTGTTCACACATAAAGCCCATCTGTAACTTAAACACCATGACTTTCAAAATCAATTTTTGTAACTTAGGAGTTCTAGGTTGGTGACATGGTTTGTATTTAACTACTGAACTAAAGGTTGGTAGTTTGAATCCACTCCATGGTGTCTGGTAATATGCTTCCATGATTACAGACAAGAAATTTGGTGGGTCACTCTACTCTATAGCATGCATCACTAGGAGTCAGAACAGGTTCAGCAACAAAAAAATTTCTCTTTTCTGGTTCAATGGTGCAAACAGTTAACACATGGCTACTAATCAAAAGGTGGAAGGTTTGCAATTTCCCAGACACCTTGGAAAAAAGGCCTGGCAAACTACTTCTGGTAAAACCAGACACTGAAAACTCCACGGAGCACAGATCTTCTCTGAAACACATTGGACCACCTTGAGTTAAAATCACCCTGACAACAACTGGAAAAATCTTTAATGTGTGTGTATTGTGGAGTGTGCATGTTTGCAAATTCTAGCTATACTCTCAGTCCATCCAATCTTTCTCCCTTGGAGCCACTGGTGGCTTCCAAACACCTTTGGCTTAGGGCAATGTTCCCTACTCACCAGGTTATCTGAGCTCCCTATAGAAAATAATTTAATATAAATATTATAGTGAGAACACAAATGATACAATTTCACAAATTTTATATGCTCCTGTTAATAGATGTCAGGTGATCTCCCACCGCCATCAAATAGAGTCCAACACATACTGACCTTCCACTAATTTCTAAGACTGAAAATCTTTACAGCAGGAGGCTTCCCATCTTACAGTGCTACAACTGGTGCATTTGAACTGAGTCAGCAGCTATAGGTTAGCAGCTTGACGTAATATCACTACACTACCAGGGCTACAGATGTAAAATATTCCTTTTAATTAAATTCACTCAAATAGCAAAATGAAATAATTTAAGGAAATATTAATAAAAGAAATCTTTCCTCTTATAAGAAAGGGGGAGTAAGGTGATGATATCCCATGAACCCAGAGGGGCTCCCCAGGCATCTGAGGGATGACAGGGATATCCCAGAGGTTCATGAGCAAATAGGAGAGATGGCATTGTGGGGAGAAATACCCAAAATTGTTTACTTCAGGGTACTCTAATGTCCCAGAACCATTGGACTGCCTTTTGGGGGGTAGCAGGAGACAGGGTGTTACCTTGTTTGCACCGCACTCAGTACCATCCAGGGGAGGGTCCAGCTTGGTCTTGCAGGATGAATCACCTTCAACCAGGCACCACAGACCGGCACACATCAGATGCTGTATTAACAAGGGCAGGAAGTGTCATTGCTGAACACAGAATGCTGCTCACACAGACATTAGAACAGCTCTCCATCAGAGAGCTGGGAGCAGTTGGCATCCAACTACCAGTTTAGATTTGAGATTGGAAACATTAGTAGAGGGACAGTCCGAATCTACACTGGAATAACAAAAAAAAACCCGCTCAATTTAAATGGTTTGTTTGCTATTGTGAAATTCCACATGTTTACTGCTAGGACGGCAGGTATTATGGACTTCAGCTCAGCATTCAATCATCAGACACAGGGAGACATAAGCCACTACTTCTAGGACCAACAACCAGCAAAAGGCTTTCTTCAGTTTAAAGCAGTGAGGTAAGAGACAGGCAAGGGGTTTTACAGAAGCAAGGAGAGGAAAACACCAACAATAAAAGCCCTGGTCAAAGAGCCCTGCTTAAATGAGGATGGGGGCTAAGACTGAGAAAAACTGGATAAATTATGTTTACTACATTGAAGTCTATGAGGGAGAGAATAGTTTAAAAGTATTATATTTTAGGGCATTATATTTATTATAAGAGTACAGAATGAGGGTTGCAGAGTGGATTCTATTTGGGGTGAGGGTGGGGTTGGGTGGTGTGTGGGGGGGACTGTGTACCAATGAAGGAGTTTTTCTTTTGCTTTTCAAGGAGAGAAGCAAACGAGGGGGGGTGTGGAGGTGGGGTGGGCGGGGAGAAAAGTGCAACAATGAACGAATGGAATTCCAAAATCTCTGTAGATGTTCACTGAAATGAAAAATAAATTAATTAATTTTTAAAAAGGCAGTTCTTCAGTGGAATTAGCAGTGATATAAAATGTTTGATACAGGCAGTACTTTTCATAAAATGAGATGTTGGAAATCACTTCCTGTAATTTTTTAAATAAAAGATCAATTATGGTAAAAAAAAATAAGGATGGGGGTAGATGGGGTACTTGGCCAGAAGCCCTCCTGCCCCAAGGACCATCATGGGGTTGGAGTGAATGGACTGCCTTCAGCCCCCACAGTGGGCACCCATATTCTAGTCCAAATGAGCTGTGTAGCTTTTCTTATGATGTTGCACCTAGAAAATTTCACCGCATCCACAAATACGCAACAAAAATAATGCTACAGAAACAGGTAAAGGCATTGAACAATACAGACTCCTACTTGTATTGGTAGGAAATTTGGTCATGGTCAAACTGCTCAGAATGAGACAAGTTATCAAGGTGACTAAAGCTGGTAGTGCCTAGCCTTGTTTTCTGAGTGACCCTCCAGAGGGTATTCCCAATGAGAGGTCCCATGAAGAGCTGACCTCCCAAGAATTCCTTCTCTAGTCACAGGACAGCCTTCAACAAATAAGAGAAAGAGATGAAGCTGGATGAATACCAGCGTTTCCTGACTACACAGTAGATTAATTCTGAGACAAGTTCCAGAAGGTTCTAGTGGGATGGTCACGTTGTCTACAGTCTACAGTCACGTTGTCTACAGTTGTTGTTATTATGTGCTATCAAATTGCCTGCCACTCGTAGCCATCCCATGTACAACTCTGAAGTCTTCCCTGTCCTGAGCCAGTCTCACAGACTCTGACATAACTATCCACATTTCCCCAGTTCCTCTATCAGCCCATCTCATCTGGGGTCTTCCTCTCCTGGGCTGTCCCTCCAACCTTCCGAGCATGATGTCCTTCTCCAAGGACCAGGCCCTCCTGCCACATGCCTGAAGTATATGAGATGAAGCTTCAAGATCCTAGCCTCCAAGGAGAAACTTGCTTTCACCTTCTCCAAGACAGACCTATTTGTTTTCTTGATGGTCTATGGTATGTTCAAGACTCCTCTCCAGCACTACAACTCAAAGGCACCAACTCTTCTTCTGCCATCCTTAGTCACTGTTCAGCTCTCTGATGCATAACAAGTCATAGAAAAGATCATGATCTGGATCAGGTGTACCTTACTTTCCAGATTGACCGCATTGCTTCTCTGTACTCAAGATGTCCCTGATAGCAGATTTTCCAAGTGCAATTTGTCTTTTGATGAACTGTCAAAATTCAGGAGACTGCTGATGCCAAAAGTGCTGATTGCAGAGCTGAGCAAGCTATCACTGTTAACAACCCAAATCTCTTCTCCATCTATGATGGTGCTGCCAATTGGTCCAGTGGTGAGAATCACTGTCTTCTTGATGTTGAGCTTTACCCATTATTGTACTTTCCCTACCATTCTCAACCACTGTATTTATATCCTCACTCTACTAGTGCTTCCTGGGATAACTTTATAGACAAACTACTTGCATCCAAATCCTCCCCTCATAGTCTGAAAATTGAGAGCACATATACTTAAGGTTCTTTTACAAATACAGTGCTTCCAATAAGCTAAACACTGTCACGGCCAAAAGGCCTGCTGGGAGGGTAAAGGTCACAGAATCTCTATGGAACAGCCCAACATAGTAACAATGAGTTTATCAAGTATCTGCCTTGTTCAGTTTAGATGTTAATATTCCAATTAATCTAAAAAACTTTTCACAGGATAGATGGAGAACTAAAGTCCCAGAACCAAGGGACTACCTTTTGGGGGGCAGCAGGAAACAAGGTGTTACCTTGCTTGTATCACACTCAGTGCCATTCAGGGGAGGGTTCAGCTTGGTCTTGCAGGATGAATCTCAAATGTTTATAAGTTAAAGAGACAGAAATACAAATGTTTGTAAGTTGAAGAGACAGAAATACAACGGGGTGGGTGAGAGGAAAGAAAGCAGAACTCCAGAGGGATTTTCAAAAGAGCTAAAAGGAGTCTGCCATTTCTTACCATCTACAAGTCTGTCAGAGCTAATCTGCATCCTGAAGAGTTAGCAATTCTGGTAGAGTGTTACTGGTATGGGTTCAAAATCCTCTGTATGTTCCCATAATTTTATAGTCTTCAGTGGGATGGTAAAAAGATAAGAGTTTTGAGTGTGACAACTGGTCTTCTAACAATTTACTATACTTAACTAAATGCTTGATTGCATGCACTTTAAGAGTTGTGGTTGTTAGCATACAGGAGATGAATGCTTGCCTTCTAAGTGCTAAGGATGAGGAAAGTGATAAAGAAGGTTATAAGTGGTTTATTTCCTCTTTTGTAAACAGCCTTTTCTTCTAAATTTTTTAAATTTAGCAGCCAGATTCTACAGAGGTTTATTTGCTGGTTCTGGTGAGTATTAGGGTGGAATGTGGACTCACCAACAGGTGTGAGTTGATCTGATTTGGCCTCCTAATTATTTTTGGTCAAACATTCTTCTAAGTGGTATTGTACTGGTCTGTTCATTTGCTGTACAGAGGCAACTCGTGGTTGCTGTGATGCTGAACACTGAAACTGATGTGTCAAATGTGATAATGGTTATCCATGGTGGGCAGTGTTTAGTGGAGCTTCTCAATTAAAACAAGCTTGGAAGTGGAATACACTTCTGAAATAGCTTGCCTCCAGAAACTCTGTGAACATGGGGAAACAATGAAAGTTATATAAGTGTTCAGGTCTTTCGTTCAAAAGGGCTGCTATGAGTCATCTACGACTCAACGGCACTTAACAACAACAATAACATCAAAGAAACAGAGACTCAAGTTAGGCCAAGATTTCTCAAGGAGAACACAGACTACATATATATATTGTTGATTGAAGCCTTTCTGTATCATCATTTCTCCAAGTTCATAGAGTTTCCAGAGGCATGTGGTTTAGGAAGTGGATACCACTCCTGCTTACAAATCTGACTTAAAAATGGGAGCTCCACTAAACACTGTCCACCATGGGGAATTGTTACGGCATATGACACTCCAGTGGCACAAGGTTCAGCATCAGAGCAAACCCAGATTACCTCAGTACAATAAATTGAGAGAAGAGTACTGGACAACTTAGAAGAATGTTCCTCCAAAATAACATGAGGCCATCAGACCCTCCAGGTCTTTTTGACACTAAACAAGAGGCTTAAATAAAAGAAAACAATCCAACATTCCTCAGGACCAACAACCCAGAACAAAAGTGCCCATCTTACAGAGTCCTGTTGTGTCAACCAGTTTTAAAATGGAAACGAGGAGCTCAGTTTAAATATAAGGAGCCCCCAGGAGGTACTGCTGACACTAAACACAAGGCTTAAATAAAACAACCTAACATTCCACATGACTGGCAACCCAGAACAAAAGCATCCATCTTACAAAGTCCTACTGTGTTATCCAGTTTAGACACACACAAATAAAACTATAAAAGAAAAAAGTACTAATTTATACTCTATGAAAATAGTTGCACTAGAAAAAAATTTATATTACATGTAATTGAAAAAAATGACTGCATCTAGAAATATATATATGAAAAGTATTGGTTTAGTGGTAAGAAACTTGGCTGCAATCCTTAAGGCACAAGGTTTGAATCCACCAGCTGCTCTCTGGGAGAAAGATAGGCAATTTTCTTCTGTGTGATTTACTGCTTCTGAAAACCCTCCAGAGGGTCAGGTATGGGTTGATTCCGACTTGATAGCACACGACAATATAAACATGAATTAACACAAAAAGAAACAGACTTGGTAGAAAAAGTCAAAATTCATGAACAATAATTCACAAAAGAAGTTAGAGAATTGGCCAAAACAGAAATATGAAATTTCTCAATTCCATCACACATTAAAGAAGGGTACTAAAATCCTCATTTAGCTATCGCTACACAACAACCAGAATGGTTATAATGAAAACAGCTGGAGGATTCCAACTATCAGGTTATCAAGTGACAGAAAGATCTTTTGCATTTATGATAAAATTGCAACCTGGATCAGTATTTCATCATGTTGATATTATTACTCTTTGATATTATTTAATACCAAATAATAATAATTGGCAAAGGAGAAGAATGCACTTGACCAGGAGGACTGATGCAATGGACTATAATGTGTGAAGAAGTGTGAGGCTGACACAGGATAGGAAAGGGTGCAGATCTTTTGTTCATAGGTTGTTATGGGTCATACTCAAATCAATGGCACCTAACAACAACAACATTATTTAG